GGGGGGGGGGGGAGAGGAAGTCCATGAGCAAAATCTTACTGTACTTCCCAACAATTACCCAAAATATAAATCTTATTAAACCTGTTACAAATTAAGCATTTTATGATGAAAATGCTCAAGCTTAGGCCACAGTCAGTGAAAAGTACCTGTCAAAATGGCCATCATATCTAGAGATATAGGCAGTTTAAATTCTATGCAAGTCTCATTTTCTTCATGGAAAAGATAAGCTTGCCCTGCCCTGGTCCATCAATGTGGTGAACCAACTCACTGGCCAATATGAAGGCAGGAAAGGTGGGGAAGGACAAGGCCATGGTAGTTTTGCCATTTACAAGAAAATCTAAAACCTGCATAACTGCTAAATATTTCTGAGTTTACTGACTGTTTTGACACACAGTTTTCCTTATCAGTAATGGCTGCTAGACCCTCTCATAATGACTGAGAGGAAGGAACTAAGAAATTAAGTGCAAAATCTTTAGCAGAACTTCAAGAGAAACTTAATTGTTAGATATCAAACATTAGGTTTGCGTTTTGGGTTTACCAAAGGCGAAAAATATATCTAAATAGTTGAAGTGTATCGATAGCTAAAACATTTTATTTTTGCTTTCTACAGAGTGGTGAAGGGTTAGAACCTCTGACCTCTGAGTGGTGAAGGGTTAGACTCCTTATTGCTGTCCCCATTCAAAAGATGCACCCTCACTATTTGGACGTGTGACCATTGTGACCGGTTCCGAATGTGATGGGGAATCGAAAATTTTTGGTAGTTACTGGGATAAGAGGTGAGGGGGAATAATTTGATGGAGACACCTGTTTCAGAGCAAAACTGCCTGAGAGGAGATTTCCACTTACTTCCTGATTTGTCTCTAGGACAGGAAGCAAGGGCAAATCTCCCAAATTGGAAAATTACTGTAAGCTGTAAGTAATTAAGATTGGTCCTCATACCTTCATAGGCAGAAAAGGCTGAATAGTAAGCATTTTTACACTGCCCAAGTTGGGAGTTAATCTGTGTATAGAAGCACATAACTGAAATAAAAGTACAAAACCATAGAAAAAAAACAATACATGTAACATGTATGCAAGCTTAAAAAGTTGGACTTTAAAAGTTGGAGCAATCAGATTACAAATATGTTAGCAAAGCAAGTTAGAAAAAGAAAACAGGATTACGAGAGCAAGTTTCATTTCAGATGTTTTCATTCATGATAGCCAAAGATGTTCTTGATACATTATCTCCATTTCCTACCTTGAGGTGCTTCTGGAGCTGGACCTCGTGTTGTCTTGTCAAGTTTTCATGCTGCTTCTGAAACTCGGCAAAAAGAAGCTGTTTCTGAAGTTGCTGCTGCTGTTTCAGTAGAATGAGTTGCTGCTGGAGCTGCTGCTCTCGGCTCATCGGGTCCATGGCCACTCCGGGACCACTAGCTGCCCGTGGCTCTTGCCTCAACTCCCCGGGACTTGGGGGGAGGCTGCTTGATGAGGGCACTGCTGCGGAAAGGAGAGGGGTGACCTCCACTGTTTGAAAGAGATAATACGCAGATGGTTAGAGACCAGGGTGACTTAAACACGGTGAAGATCTTCAACAAAATGCTGACCAGAGGAATGGAAATCCAATTAGATATACACCGATAGATGCGAAATTAAATGCACACAACTTACAATGTCAGCATACTACAAAGCTCACACTAATATACAGTGTTAGAGGCTGGTCTGTGTTAGACATTTGTGAATACAGCCAAGAACCCAATGTGCTCCAGAATTTACATAATCTGAGCCAGCACTTCAATCCAGGAGTTAAATGTTGACCCTGAATAGCGCCAGAACATATATAACTCCATTCTTTGGAAAACATAAAAATAAAATTACTGTCAGTGGGAGTACTGTGATCAGGATAGATAATAAAGACTTATACATTTAAACATGCATGTGTATCATGGATGCAGTTGACGTCAAGGATATATATGATGCTAAATCTGATGCTAGGTCCACTTTAAGACCAAAGAAAACTGTAACCTGGAGGACATGTATATTATATGTACTTCTATATCCATCACAAATGGGTACAAGGTCTAGTACCAGACAAAGTGGGGCATGTTAGGGTATTGACTTGATGTCCTGTGCCTATAGCCCATTTTTAATAAGACAATATACTTACTCAACATTGTCTTTCTCACACAAATTATACTAGCCGCTTTGGGGTTGAGATAAAAAGGATTCACATGAGGAACCCATAGGGAGTTGAAGTGAATGAGTTTGTAGACTATGCAGACCAGCCTTTCTCAAACAAGGTTCTCTGTAGGTTCCTTCAGAGGTTGCCAAGGGTTCCCTGAGCAATGAGCAATTGCTGTCTCTCAGATAAGTCACCACTGACCAGAATTATCTCTATAGTTATCTGTAAGGAGGGAGTTCTTGCCAATGACCACGAATGTAAGGAACATTCTTCCTAGTAACCATCACACTAATGTACAGTGATATAAAAAGGATTCACATGAGGAACCCATAGGGAGTTGAAGTGAATGAGTTTGTAGACTATGCAGACCAGCCTTTCTCAACCAAGGTTCTGTGGAGGTTCCTTCAGCCAAGGATTCCGTGAACAATGAGTAATTGCTGTCTCTCGGATAAGTAACCACTGACCAGAATGATCTCTAAAGTTATCTGTAAGGAGGGAATTCTTGCCAATGACCAGGAATGTAAGGAACATTCTTCCCAGTGACCATCACACTAATGTACAGTGAGATAAAAAGGATTCACATGAGGAACCCATATGGAGTTGAAGTGAATGAGTTTGTAGACTATGCAGACCAGCCTTTCTCAACCAAGGTTCTGTGGAGGTTCCTTCAGCCAAGGATTCCGTGAACAATGAGTAATTGCTGTCTCTCGGATAAGTAACCACTGACCAGAATGATCTCTAAAGTTATCTGTAAGGAGGGAATTCTTACCAATGACCAGGAATGTAAGGAACATTCTTCCCAGTAACCATCACACTAATGTACAGTGAGATAAAAAGGATTCACATGAGGAACCCATATGGAGTTGAAGTGAATGAGTTTGTAGACTATGTAGACCAGCCTTTCTAATCAAGGTTCTGTGGAGGTTCCTTCAGCCAAGGGTTCCCTGAACAATGAGTAATTGCTGTCTCTCAGATAAGTAACCACTGACCAGAATGATTTCTATAGTTATCGGTAAGGAGGGAATTCTTGCCAATGACCACGATTGTAAGGAACATTCTTCCCAGTGACCATCACACTAATGTACAGTGACCTGTAGATATAGTGATTAATAGCCTGGGTTCCCCGAGACCTGAAAGTTATTTTAAGAGTTCCTCCATGTTAAAATGTTTGAGGGAGGCTGATGTAGACTATGCAGTTCCTGAAAATTTAATAAGCAAACGTGGCCAAAGGGTTAGAACTTCTAGAGGGGGTCCTTGTGCCATAGTACATGGAAGGATTCTTACACAATCGTTGCCATGAGGACTATGACAAGGTGTATCTGTCAGTTGGAAGAATTCAATGGGATATCTGTTGGGGTGTGTACTCTTCACTCACTCCATTATGAGCAAGCGGTGTTCATCTGAGGATGTACACATGTGCCAAAAAAAGCAGGATTTCTGGTGAATTTCCTCTCGGTGTTGCAGGGAACAGGTTAGGTCCTCCATTCTTTCTGAGACCTTCAAAACACCAAAGAGATATTGTTGGGGGGGGGAGTTGTCTGTTTCCAGTATAAAGGAATACAGGTTCTAGCTGCATTCACAGGGTGATTGTGTAAGGACCTCTTGTGCACACATTGTGATAGGTGGTTGGAATAGAGTAGGAATGCTATTGGACTATTCCCCATAAATGATACTTGTTTGCACTTTTAACCAAAAGGGCTTTTAAAGTGAACACTCCCAAAAACATGGAGAAGCATACCTTGTTGTTTGTTGATTCTCCAGCACATTGGGGAGGTCTGTGGGAAGAGTTTGCACAGGTACGTAGGAATAGGAAGCCTATACCATCTTGATAGGATTCTGAATCCTAATTCTGGGGGTTTACAGGGTATGGATGACTTATGTGTAAAGTACATCTTATCTTTTTGGGTCCAGGAGAAGTAACATCTCAGATCCGTATCCAAATTCTAAATACAAGCTGGATAAATGAAAGTTTGTGTGACTGGATTCAGCTTTTGAGAGCAGAATATGTAGACTAAGACAATGAAAGCAGCCTGTATATAAGAATAAAAAGGGAGAGATGAGAGATGGATGGGGAAACTGAGAAAGTGTAAGTGCGGGGAGAGAGGGAGGGGGAGATATAAGGAGGCTGAGAGCCTGTAGGATGCCAGCTAATCACCTTTTACCACTTTCATTGTGAGCACTCTGAAAAACACAGCTAAATATAGCGAGAACAAAACAGCTGCATACAGAGAGTGTGAGAATGGAGGATGCTGGGAGTGCATAAAATGAGGGAAAGGCCTGTAACAAGTCAATGATGGAGAAATCATGGATTCTACTGATATACTGTATATTTTTTAAAGTAAGCCTGTACTAGGGATGCATTAGATAAAGTAGGAGAAAGACCAGATATCAAACTGTATAAGGTGCCTACTCATAAGACCAGATATCAGACTCTATAAAGGTGCCCACTCTTAAGACCAGATATCAGACTCTATAAGGTGCACACTCATAAGACCAGATATCAGACTCTATAAAGGGCCCACTCATATGACCAGATATCAGACTCTATAAGGGGCCCACTCATAAGACCAGATATCAGACTCTATAAGGTGCCACTCATAAGACCAGATATCAGACTCTATAAGGTGCACACTCATAAGACCAGATATCAGACTCTAAAAGATGCCCACTCATAAGACCAGATATCAGACTCTATAAGGGGCCCACTCATAAGACCTGATATCAGACTCTATAAGGTGCCCACTCATAAGACCTGATATCAGACTCTATAAGGTGCCCACTCATAAGACCAAATATCAGACTGTAGAAGGTGCCCGCTCATAAGACCAGATATCAGACTCTATAAGGGACCCACTCATAAGACCAGATATCAGACGCTATAAGTTGCCCGCTCATAAGACCAGATATCAGATGCTATAAGGTGCCCGCTCATAAGACCAGATATCAGACTCTATAAGGTGCCCACTCATAAGACCAGATATCAGACTCTATAAAGGTGCCTATTCTTAAGACATGATATCAGACTCTATAAGGTGCCCACTCATAAGACATGATATCAGACTCTATAAGGTGCCCACCTATCTGGTCATATGAGCGGGCAACTTATAGCATCTGATATCTGGTTTTATGAGTGGGTACCTTACAGAGTCTGATATCTGGTCTTATGAGTGGGCACCTTATAGAGTCTGATATCTGATCTTATGAGTGGGCACCTTATAAAGTCTGATATCTGATCTTATGAGTGGGCACCTTATAGAGTCTGATATCTGGTCTTATGAGCAGGCCCCTTATAGAGTCTGATATCTGGTCTTATGAGTGGGCCCCTTATAGAGTCTGATATCTGGTCTTATGAGTGGGCCCCTTATAGAGTCTGATATCTGGTCTTATGAGTGTGCACCTTATAGAGTCTGATATCTGGTCTTATGAGTGGGCACCTTATAGAGTCTGATATCTGGTCTTATGAGTGGGCACCTTATAGAGTCTGATATCTGGTCTTATGAGTGGGCCCCTTATAGAGTCTGATATCTGGTCTTATGAGTGGGCACCTTATAGAGTCTGATATCTGGTCTTATGAGTGGGCACCTTATAGAGTCTGATATCTGGTCTTATGAGTGGGCACCTTATAGAGTCTGATATCTGGTCTTATGAGTGGGCACCTTATAGAGTCTGATATCTGGTCTTATGAGTGGGCACCTTATAGAGTCTGATATCAGGTCTTATGAGTGGGCACCTTATAGAGTCTGATATCTGGTCTTATGAGTGGGCACCTTATAGAGTCTGATATCTGGTCTTATGAGTGGGCACCTTATAGAGTCTGATATCTGGTCTTATGAGTGGGCACCTTATAGAGTCTGATATCTGGTCTTATGAGTGGGCACCTTATAGAGTCTGATATCTGGTCATATGAGTGGGCACCTTATAGAGTCTGATATCTGGTCATATGAGTGGGCACCTTATAGAGTCTGATATCTGGTCTTATGAGTGGGCAGCTTATAGAGTCTGATATCTGGTCTTACGAGCAGGCCCCTTATAGAGTCTGATATCTGGTCATATGAGTGGGCACCTTATAGAGTCTGATATCTGGTCTTATGAGTGGGCAGCTTATAGAGTCTGATATCTGGTCTTATGAGTGGGCAGCTTATAGAGTCTGATATCTGGTCTTATAATTGGGCAGCTTATAGAGTCTGATATCTGGTCTTATGAGTGGGCCCCTTATAGAGTCTGATATCTGGTCTTACGAGCAGGCACCTTATAGAGTCTGATATATGGTCTTATGAGTGGGCCCCTTATAGAGTTTGATATCTGGTCTTACGAGTGGCACCTTATAGAGTCTGATATCTGGTCT